CGTTTTACTACTTTTCTGCTGAAATGATTTCAGAAAATTCGCGAATAAAAATGAAGAGAGAATTGATATCTTACAGATTATAAATGGTATTTGATATATCGCTGGAATCGTGAGGCCCACGACCATTCTACAGGCGGCCCATGTCCAGAAATTATTCGAAACTGATGTAATGATGCCTCCGAGTATGAGTGTAGCCAGACAACTGAAGAAGGATAATCTCCTTCCAATTCTAAAAAGCATTTTGGATAAAGGAACATTTATGAAATTTACATAGTTCTCTATTTGTTATTGCAGGTTCTTATATTACCTATCATTTAAGGTACCGAAGAGATAAACACCAATCGGTCCTCCAGTGTTCAAAGCCACAAGCCCGAGGGTGGGATAAATCGCCTTATCACAGACAAGATCAAACTAAAATAGAAAAAATGAATGCATCCGCATTAAAAAAATGTTTTAATTAATTTTTTTCCTCTTGAATTTCATTAATTGAACTGAATGTATTGTTATAAATTTTATTATAAATCTGAACTTTTAGATATGCTCCAAGGCTCTGAAGATGAAAATGGCGGAAGAAATTGGCCGACAAAATGGCGAAAAAAATCGGATTACGTTGTAAATTGTTTTTGGATCGTATCATAATTATTGGCGCGTGAAGATCGAATCAATTATATATAGTTATAAAAAAACTATCAATATTTACGTCAATCACGATTGAAGAGACGATTTCCGACATATCGTATTCCCATCCATGATCGCAGGGCACGACAGGCCAATCCGTAAAATTAGCCTGGAGATTGACATTTGTCAGGTCAATAATATTGGGATCCGACCAATTGACATCATACCTCGTGCACTGGCTGTACACAGTCTCGTTGCCTTCCTACTTTGACAAAAATCATCTTGATCACTCTAAAACGATCGCAATCCTCTCCCACGTCATTATTACTTCCACAAATCACAGTACACCAAGACAAATCAGAGACATGGCATTTTTTACTCTACGCAAAGTCAAATGGTACTTTCGAGGGAATTACTTTACTCTCAATGCCACAAATATTGAAGTAACAAAGACTACATCTTAAAATTATTGAGATTTAGCTAATGCAACGGGATAAGATTGAATTAATAATCACTGATGATCCTCTCAAATAATTAGTTCTTAAAATGAATGAATAATTCAAGATATTTAGAATTTTTAATTTATATACAGAGAAAAACAAAGACCTTTGCCAGATTAATTTACTTCCCCCCAAGTAATTTTATTTAGCATAAGACATTGTATGCATTATTTGCATTTGAAATTTATGGATTTTAGTGTAAAGTCCACATTTACCATTCATTATTAATTAATATTAGGTAAATAAAATTGTTGTTTTATGTGGAAATTAATTGGGGCACTCGCACTTTTCATTACAAGGAAAATTACTTGGGTAGAGATTGACTGATTGAAGTTTGAGAATAAATTGACGAAAAGATATTGGGGATTTTTTCTACGAGCATCAACATTCTAAATCAAGGATTCATGACTCATTCATAATTTATTGTTCCAAACAAACCGTTTTGCATTAGGGGAGAGTAGGACAAAATGAAATAGTATTGAATGCTACTATCAAAAATAGAAATGTCGAGATTTTTTTTCCTTTATTCTATTTATTTTAATATGATTTTAGGTATGATCGATATTCTATAATCCAATCTTCTATTATCAATGTTTATTATTTAAAATTTTCCCTCGTTATCAGTAAACTTTTGCAAAAATTCCTTAGACTTTGGTAACAATTAAAAAAAAAATTAACGGACGGCTATGAAAATTAATGAGTCATTAAATAATAAAACTTAAAAACCGTTTTTTTTCACGTCAACGCGATTCTGAATTTCCCAGAAATTTTCAAAAACCACGAAAACTGATAAAATATCAGCAACAACTCCTTAAATCGTTCGTTCGTCTATTTCATTTTGTCTCACCATTCGCTACTTCGGAATGACACCAATTTAAGACTTTTTATTCGCACTAGAGACCTCATTGGTAGTTGGAATCGCGAGTCTTCGCCTCCTGGTGGAGTCGAGGCTCTCGAGTCCTGGGACACGACACCAGTGCGGGGGTGTAGATGCCATGAACAGCTGATTGAATGCACAAAAACCACATGGAAGACATGCAGGCAGACACACGAGCCACAGCAATTTCTTCTGATACGTTCCAAATTCACCAACAATAGGGAGTAAGTCGTCCAG